CCAAACCCTCCGGACTTGGTGGGAACCCCGGATGGATTTCCTGACGCAGTTACGGGAGACCGCCCTAGCGACCGTTTCAATCACACCCAAAGCAAGAAGAGCAGTCTGGTTTCCAACGGCATAACTGCTGAGAGAACCAACCACAAATGCGTAAACTCCACTACTTTGCCAAAGGCAACAGCAATGGAGCGACATAACTCTTCATACCTAAAGTGCTTCCGACGGGCCGCGTCATCTATAGCGGCCTCGCCGTTGTCGAATGGTCACACCACATTGACCACTACGATCCGATTCGTCCAGATTTTCCTGAGAAATAAATCGGACCGCAGCATCTCAGCTGTTCTAGCGGTGTGCTCACGACAAACTACGTCGACATCGCACCTAGAAAACCTGGCTGGAGGTAGGTGAGCCAAGATCTCTTCCTGCTGCACCGAATCGTGCCGCTCTTTAATGATATTCATGACTGGGTGACAGTGATTCAGCATATGAGGAAGAGTCTCGTTTGCATACCCACACTTGCTACAAGTCACCCGTGGTTCCGCATATGCCGTAAACCGTCTACGAACGGATCGCAGCGGCAGAAGATTTAATCGAGCTTTCAAAAACCACGAACACTGATACTGGGCGAGAGAGACAGACGTGAAGAGCAACTTAATTTATGTGACTAAATACAAAAAACAGCAGTTATCATTCCATTTGGACTACAATACAACCCTAACCTGTATCCCTACGTTATATTACAACCCTAGTATAAACCTCTTACTTTTAAACCCAATTAATAACTTCGATCCGAATCGTTTATCCTAACCGCAGATAGTAAACCCAATATTAAACACGATAAACAACTCCTAGCGCAGTAGATTACACTGGGTACAAGACAGAAGGTGCCAACCAGGGCTGCCACTTTTGCCTGACTAAAAACATCTAGATTGACCTCGAAAAACATCTAGTAACATCCCGATTGAAAAATAAAACATCTAGAAAATACATCTAGATATCAAATCCTTGAGTTTAATGCAAAGTAACCATAATACAGTAATATTAGATGTCGAAGAAGCTAACATCCTAACCTAGAACTCAATTCCCACCTGCAGAACTTACAAAATACCTTATTCTTATCATCTGAAGGGGCAAACCATTCCTTAATTAAGCCAATCTTTTTTAAATTTTTGCTGGTAGTGTATACACTTTGGCATTTTCAAAGGTTGATGTTTAAAGAGAGACACATTCAATAGCACTAGTTAGCAATAGTTTCTATTTAACGTTAATTAAAACGTCACATGTTTTGAACATGTTAAATTCGTTATTCAAATATTTTGAGTACATATGGCTGTATGGTACCAGTGGACGAATACAATATGAGTGAGTTTTATCAATCTTACGTCAATACTTATAAATAATGAAACAATATTCATTCACCTATTACAGTATTATACACATCTCTTTATTTATTTCCCACTGAAGAATATTTATAACCTTGAAAAAAATATCTAGAAATTATAGCTAACATCTAGGCTCCAAATTTCACATCTAGATTTCGAAAAAAAAAAAGTTGATCTAGATATAAAACATCTAGGGTTTTATTTCAAATGGACACTAGACATAATAAATGAGTTGATACATACTGATATGGATGGGCAATGAAGATTTACTCCAACACAGAGGAGCACTCTGCACGTGGTTTAAAGAAAAGTGTAGCTTACGTTCGGATGTACATCTTTCATATTTGGTGTATCTTGAAAGCATGGATGAAGTGCTTCAGTCGCAATAAAAATCAGGAGCTAATTATAATTCAGATATCAGAGTACTGTTGTAAAGCAAAATCTTTTTTCAAGCCTCATGTTTTGATAGACTCAGTAGCTGCAAATTCATAAACAACATAATTGAAAGTGTTATGATAAAAAAAAGAGATGCCTGAAATAATTGCCAGTAAAATGATTAGATCCGAAAATGACATTTTGGAATATTTTAGGGGTGCTGTGTTAAAAATGTTGGAAAAAATTTAAATATTGCGGTCATCCAGAAGATGTCTGCTACCACTTTTAGAGGATGGAATTTAGTTTGCTCATGTGTCCATCTACAGAATACCTGTATTCATTAAGCATACCTCAATTGAATTTTAAAAGAATGAATATCCCAATAAAATTCAGTTTTTGAGGGGCGAGTAAAAATCCCAATAAAGTTTAGTTCAATACAGCGGTGAGTAGTGACAGATGTTCTTCCTAGTCAATATTTCAAAAACTTCACATTGAAAATCGGTCTTGTGAAGAATTGTCAGATGATATCGAATAAGTGATACCATATAGATTTTCGTGTATTATGGATTCAAAATAACTTTTATTAAAGTGTAAGTACGATACGGTTCTCAACCTTTTTTAGTGTCAGAGCTTGTAATTGGCCTTGAATTTTAACTCTGACGTCTGGGAAAACCGCACTCGTGATGGATGTAGCAATAAATATAACAATAGCTAGATTGATATTTATATCATGACATCTATTTCAGTCCGAAACATTTTTCTTTCCAATCACATTGAAACGCCCGATTATATTTATAAAGCGTTGCGAGCCTTTTTAAAGGTTTGCTGACAAAATAAGAATTAAATATTTTGTTCGAAAATACCTAATATTAGCACAGTGTGCGCAATAACCTTCTTGTGATTAATGGAAACAATCTGAAACGTAGACTGAACATTGGGGGGTATTATGACATCATAATGAGTCGTTCCTTATATTTTCGAGCAACGTCTGGGCAAAGTATGAATCAATGTGTAATCCTTTGTCATTGAATGATTTCCAATATTTACGGTACCTTATATACAACCTTCCAAACAATTTTATATTCTAATTTTCACACCCAGGGATAACATAGGAGTAACTTTGAACGTATATCACCCAAGACATTTCGGGGAGTCAACAACCGTATTTGATAAAGGAGATTTTCAAACTAACTAAACGAACAAAGCCACATTTGTCGTGGTTTGAAACACACCTATCGAAACCTGCAAAAATGATCGGATTACCTAAAAAGTCCTCCTCACTATCGGCCCTACATAATTTCCAGATAAACGTGCTATTACAGTTTTCCAGGTTAGGATCGTGTCGGCCGTTGATTGGTCGTGGGACGTGTTGGCGAGTGGCGACGTTTTGAATTTGGAGTTAGGTTTTCCAAATTTAGGGACACTCGATTCGGGCTACACACATCTTTCAATTGTCTCAAATTTTAAGTTGTTTTACTGTTTTATTATCAATTCTTATATCAATTTTACCGTTGTTTTAATTGAAGAATAATACCACACAATAGCAGTACTAAACAATCAAAGATTCACTCGTTTTACATTGTAGACAATAAAGCGGCCGTCAAAGAAGCCTCGTCTCGCAAAGAACCGTAGGTGAAATACCTGCGTACTGTACAACTTTTCTGTGATTTAGTTTCTGCGTCCACATTACAAATAATGTGTGTTCTTTCAGCTTAGATTCAATTAATTTCAGCTGCAATATTCCCTAATTCCCCAAATCCCGCATTTGCTGAGTAAAAATCCGGAAACGTTGGTTCCAGAAATTTCAAATAGACAATCCCGAAGTGTGGAGTGGACTTTTGAACTTAGCTTTCTGTGCAGTGAAACTGACGTTACTTTGTGGTATGCAAGACAAGGTAGGGTCGGATTTACATATTTATGCTCGGGGAGAGGAAAGCCGATAATGCGTATCAACCATACGGCAAACCACGGCCTCTCGTCCGGTTACCAGTCCATGTTGGGTATGGGATTAGTTAGCTAGATATTTGTTTTCAGATACATGGACTTGATGACGGAGGAAGCCGTGTACCACCCTACGGCGTAGAGGATTCCAGCAATCCTATCACACATAATTTACTCCTCCTGATATTCGAACCTACGAACCCAGGTAATCAAAAAATATTCATTTGTCGATACATTCACTTGTCCGTTCTCAATCCCTTCTTGATCATTGCGTTTTTTCTTTGAATGCTGGAACTAAAAGTTACTATTGCATGTGCTTTCATACATTTGCCATAGTGCCAAAATCATAAATCCGGTATACAAAAGTACTTAGATAAATTTAACGAAGATAGGATAGGATTTACATATTTATCCCGGGGAGAGGAAAGCCGATAAGATGGCTTATCAATATGGCGAACCACGGCCTCTCGTCCGGTTACCATTCCAAGTCGTGATTATGGGATTAGGTAGCCTATATTGTTTGTTTTCGGAAGCATGGACTTGGTGGTGGAGGAAGCCGTAACCGACCAGCGGTTACGTGAACCACCCAACGGCGGCGAGGAGTCCAGCAATCCTCTCGCACATAAACATCTCTGCACGCAGAGTAATTAGAGGTGCGGAGGCGAGCGTATTCCTAATGTTTAGCCCGTTGAGCCACACCGCCTCGCCGGCGACTTGGATGTTATTTGAATTAGTAATCTTACCATTGAATTCATCCCATATAAACTTGTTATTTAGCATTGATCGCATTATGCAATTTTTTTAAATCCTATCTCGCGACCGCATGAAAAGCTTTCGCGAGCAGTGTGCGCCCGCCAGCCCTACGTTATGTAGCCTATAATAGCCTGCGCTTATCGTATCCTGATTTCATAATCGGTTTTTATTTATTTGTTCCAATCAATCACTTTATTGCCTTTTTTTGCTGATTAGGAGGTTGAAATAAACTTATACTTCACTGCATTTAAAAACTTCATATTTTATATACTTTTTTATTAGTTTATAATTTGACTCGTCATTTAGTGGTGCATCGAGTCATATGCGAATTTTTCTATAACTAAAATATTTTGATTCCATTTAGTATGATATCCACACTACTATTAAAATAGCATACAAGTTGATAAAAGAATATTTATATATAATTTAATTCTTAATTTTTCAAAGATCTTGATTATAACAACCCTTTTGTAATTACACATCTCGAATCCGGTACCGGTATACGCTCCTGCACATTATGCCTTTGTTCTGATTTGTGATTTCCCAAATCCCAATGGCTTATGTGGTTCTGCCATCTTTCTAAAATCCTAGTCCATTTTTATAAATTTCAAGTTTTTTGTTGCTTTTGTGGTTTGTCTTCAGGGCGTTCCAGCGTTAGATAATCAGCTTTTGTAAGTGTCATGGCGGATAATATGGATGAAGATGATTTGGTTGTACCGTACAAAAAACTAAGAAAAGAGAAGGCCGGAATTGAGGGTGAAGATTTTGGAATTCAACCCAATTTAAGTGAGTTTATTTTAAAAGTTTTTATGGTACCGGTATATTGTGTACCGTACAGCCATATAGTCTACAGAACTCGAATGAACTGGATGAGGATATTCTGACAAGTCCAGAAGTCCTGTTGTTTCTAGCCATCACCCTCTAAATTCTAAAACAAAAGTCGCAATCGCTTGTTTCTCTATTAATTTGTTACACAACTGATTATGTTAGTCTGTGACTGCTAGGCTAAAACCTCCTCGAATATTTATCAAAATTCCAAGCACATTAATACCGTCAGACCGTATTTCTGTATTTACTTCGACTTCATGTTAACATCATGCAGTCATGGTTAAGATGACATTGCTGGGCTAATTTTCACTGTAGATTATTTACTTGTCATGTATATTCCTGTATTCTGTACCGTAATTTACAAAAATACAATGCATTATTTCAAAGTGTCTAGTGATGTCATTTCTGTATTATAATACTGATAATATGTCCAAGTCCAGAGGTCGTAATGAAAAAAATCATAATATGAGTCTAATTTTCAATGCATATCTACGTATGACATCATTTATGTAGTCTTGATGCAGCAGATTCAAAGATTGATAGTCGTAGCCCTGAAATACCAAGTCACAGATCTATTGTCCAACTACAAACACGTCGATTCAGTTGGTTGGCTTTGGGTGAGCTTATAATGTTAATCCTCGGACATAGAAAAGGTATTAGAAATGCATCAAGTGGGGAAAATTTCACTCTATCAATACTTTATGTTTATATCAATTAATTTTTTACTCGTATTTACAGGTTCTCATTTCTCCAATGGGCTTGATGATTCAAAGTATAAAAGTGGAGAATCAGCACCAGGGCGTCATCTACGTTTTCATTCCGTTGAACAAGATGATGTCCAGAGTAGTTCAGGCAATAGTAGTAATATAGAAAATGAAAATCCCAATGATGAAGATAGCGGCAACATAAGTGATTCATCATCTCATGCAAGCTCTGGGGATTGGCAAAGAAGACCAGCTGGTTTGTAGCGGAGTTTTATTCAAAATTACGCTTTTTCAGGGTTCATTTTATTAATTTCAAATACCTTTCCCTCTTATTCTTAAGTAGTGAATAATTTGGTAATGATGCTTTTTTTTATTACAAAGCTGTATCCAATTCGAGTTAAAAGAATTTCGATTCAGATTCCAAGTTTTCAACATTATTTTATTCAAATGCCTGAGCCTTATTTCGATTAAAAAACTTTACTCGACTACAGACTGACTAGTCTCAAGACTCCAATGGCTTGTGATCCACGGTTTAGGGACTACCCGACAATTATTATTAAACACATTCATGCGATCCACTCTGCAGCGCCATAATATTGTATCATAAAAAGTTTAAAAAAAGTGATATTATTCGTTCCTTTGACAAGGTATCTTTCTTCACAGGTATGATTGGATGGGTTCATGCACAGATGTTGTCAGGCGTCGATCCTAGAGAAATTCTTCACCATCTTGTACCAAGTTTATCCAGTAGTTTACCTGTAGACATCAATCCATTTACGTTATGGAAACTTGTGAGTTTTTTTTTACCTTTTAACCCTAACAAAGCTGTCTTACAACCCATACGCTGGTGAAAAATCTTATTGCTCAAACATAGTTATATTTATGAAATTGATGCTGGCATTTTAAAACAAAATTTGTTTTGAAAAGTCTCTTTGCCATTGGAAACATGCAACTGCATCTTTTTTATAATACAACATTGTTGAAGGGCCGCCACACTCTAATTCTAAAATGAAAGAATTGGTATTTGACTCGACTTGGCACCGACCTAACGTGTATTGCCAAAGCCTCGGGACTCTGTTGTCGTTATCTCCTAAATGAAGATGAACCATCCAACCTGGATCACAAGCATCGTACGGCTGTACCATAAAAATAAGCAACCACTATAATTCGAGGTGGCACCTGGCCAACTTTGCATGCTTGGTGATGATCGTGATGCAGACACTATTCGAGGATTGATATGAGATCGCAATTTAAATTCAGAAGGTCCACGTTAAATCACAATCATATTCAGGCTATCAAAATCTTTGCTCTTTTGGTTGTCTTTTTCAAACTTATACTTTTTTTGCTATTTCAGGTTTTAAACATTCTGAGTGAGCCACAGAGACGACCAAAGTTATCCCACATCAATTCATTGTCTGATGTTGTCAATCTGATAAAAAATGCAAAAAATATATTAGTACTAACTGGAGCAGGGGTGAGTGATGTTCTATCATCAGAAAATGTAAATCTTCAATAAGGCAAAGTGAGAACTGAAGGGACATGATATATATACGTAAATGACTTCATCGAAAAAAATTGTCACCATCAAGGTTTATCAGAAAGCCGCCCGTCTTTAGTCTGGCCATCGATTATATGGTGGACATTCGGTGCCCTCATTATAAGTTTATATCTGCCCTAAAGTACAGAAAAGAGAGGGGAGACAAGCCGTGAAGCGAAACATCTCTTTGTTTGACATGAATATTTATCTCGGAGCAGCTAGACGCCATATTTACAGATATTATAGCTTAGTTCTGGTTAGTTCATAGCTCATTTATAACTGAGTTTTTTGAACTCAGAAAATTCTTCCCTCTGTCTGTTGTCACTAATTTAAATCTATGTTTGCAAGGTTTCAGTATCATGTGGAATTCCAGATTTTCGTTCCCGCGATGGAATATACGCTAGACTTGCAGTTGATTTTCCTGACCTACCAGACCCACAGGTTTGACTTATACTGTGTAAAAGTTTTCATGAGCAAATTGCATGACATCATAAATAATATTTTCTTTGTTTCTAGGCGATGTTTGATATATCATATTTCACACAAGATCCTCGACCATTTTTTAAATTTGCAAAGGAAATATATCCAGGACAATTCAAACCTAGCAGAAGTCACAGGTAGTTTTCAAACTTTTAAATTTCAAGAATGATAGATCATAGATGATAGTACTTTTTAGTGTTGGGGCAGTGCACTCAAGTCATGATTTGTACTTGTAACCACCAGTACTCGACTTAACTTCGAACACTCGGACGAACTGTGACTCAAAAACCCTTAAAAAAAATGTTTTCCTATTTTGCGTAACTAATTCAATTTTCATATAGGTATAATGTTTAATGACTCTTGTATCACATATTTTTACAATCACTTGCTAAAAGTCGCTACAAATGAGGGTGCTGCAGAAGTGTGTGTACCAACTACCAATATGGAGATAACTAATTTTGTCTTCCTACTTTACATCAAGTTGTGTGAAGCGACTGAAACCTATGGGCAGGGGGTATATTCACTGGGCTAAGGCAGACAGTCTCTGAACTTGTAATAGAACTAAAATACGGAAAATGTGAATATAATTATGGCCTAACCCTAACCTGGTACCAGGGCTGGGGAGCTGGTTCGAAATCATGATGGCTCCAGCTCCGGAGTCGCAGTGTATTCAATCTTTAGTTCCAGCTCCGGCTCCATAGCCATTATCAGTAGTGCAGCCCAATAACGCATTTTGCTAATTGTTTTCTAAGTGTGGCATGTTATTTAAGCTGTAAACACCCTTCAAGTCGGTGTCATGATAATTCCTTTTTGTTCCTGCATGTAACTTTTGAATCCACTGAGAGTTATTATATGCTGTATTTCCGGGCGAATCGGTCTACCCAGCATATAAGGGTTTTACATATAACCCACCCCACAATAAGACGGGAAGGAATATCGGCTTCTGGAATGGTCGCAGCGTTTGCGCATTCGGTAAAATAGCTCATGACTTTTTCTACCACATAATATTTAACCCATAATAACTGTCTTTTTATTTTAATTTAATTGTGTTCAACATAACTGGCAATCATGCCGGCCAAATAAAATCTGTCGTGGGCCATTATAAAGCAAAACTTATGGTGTTTTCTGTTTTATTTTCAGTATTTTATAATGTCGCCTTTTAATCAGGAAAATTTGGTTTGCGTATAGACTTCTTTATTTATCTTAGAATTTCATCACCGGTGATTATGTAATAACTCGTTTTCTCACAAATATGGTGCGCGACACAAAACATATGTCTTGAGAAATTGTGATTAAGGGAAAAATAAACACTGAAATAAAAGATGTTATGGCCCAATGTTTATGGCGACTAAAACAATTGACGCTTTTCACGAAATGCAACGCACATGTGATAGTAATGGCAATAGCCCTTCAACTCATGATAATTTAAACTGGCCTGACGGAGGGCAGGATTTTATGGTCCAAATTGAATGAGCAGACCCAAAATAATGGAAATTACCATCGTCACCCAATTAGATACCGTCCCCCTCTCCCAAATCAGGCCAAAAGTTGGTTCTAGAATCGAGGCGTTTTCATAATTATCAGCGATGAGATGTTAAAGATAAATAGAGAAGTCAATTCGCAAGCCGAGTTTCCACATTGGAGAGTTATTATAAGATACTAAAATGAAAAGGAAAACACTATAAACTTTGTTCTAGGAGACTCCCAACAGCTAAAAAAAATGCCTTGTTAATCAGGTTAATCTCATTATATTTTTTGCCTACGACATATTATTTACCGGTTGACTTTGAAAATTATACAGTCACTAAAATAAATCTAAACGCAATCAATCTTACTCGCGATATACTTTTTATATATTCAAAAAATAACAACGGAAATTGATGAGACTTTTCTCCAGAACATGCTATGTTATAGATCAAAACAAGATATAATGGGGCACTTTGCCATACATTTTTATGCCAGGTGACTGCTGCGGAGCATTTTGGAGTAGTTAAACCTTTCTTTTGTCGTAAAACGACTCAATCTCGAGATACGTTGAACAGAATTGAAGACATTTGAAATGGATTGGATATTCAACGCCACGAAAAAATCATAATATGTTACATGGAAATTCCAAAATCACTTCTTCGAAAATCCCTGGCCATTAGGGTTTTTGAGCTTGACCGCAATCATGAAAAATTGCTGCTTAGTGGAAATGAGAATCAAAATTTTGATAAAAGTGAACCGCTTCAAATTTTGATACTAAACTTTCAAACATACAGAATAACTGAAAACTTTTTAAAAAATATCAGGAACTAAAATTTTTAAAATGAATTATAAGCTGAAAAGAAAAGGTTTTATCATTTGTAACGCTATCAGAAAAAAATTATAAATTTGAAAAACAAAAAATGAGATATTTAGGAGCTGGAGCCTGGAGCCACTAAATTTTTGGTAGCTCCAGCTCCATCTGTTATGAAAAGCTTGGCTCCAATTCCGACTCCGGCTCCATCAAAATGTAACGGCTCCGACTCCAGCTCCGGCTCCCCAGCCCTGCCTGGTACACACACTACGAGAGTACCCAAATAAGCACTGCTTTTATATTTTTCCTCCTATATGAGAAACCTGTTAAATACTCGCTTTGTCCCATATGGCAGAAATTGAGGTAGATGACCGGTTAATTGTTTCAAATCTGAATACATGTGGACTGTTATGTATTCAAATATTGACATTTTTGATTTAAGATTTATATTTTGATGAACTAAAATCTTAGTAGGATCCGATGTTCTTTACTTAATTTCCATCTTCCCCATTTCCAGCTTTATATCATTGCTACAGAAGACTGAAAGATTGCTCAGGAATTACACTCAAAACATTGATACTTTAGAACAAGTTTCGGGTATATCAAAAGTTATTCAATGCCATGGTAAGTTAATATAGAAGATGTTAAAGAAAATTTAGTATTAAACTCGAAGTAAAATCTTGAAATGTCTGGAACTTTCCTCAAATTATTTATTTTATATTCACTTTTTTCGAATATATTTGAATATCATCTATCATCAAAATATAAACTGAAAACTAATGATTTGCACTGCAGATAACTATTTCATTTTACCTGTAAAAGTCAGTATTTAATGAAATGAGGCCTTTTCAATATTAATATAATGCATAGAACATGCTATTGTAAAAAGAATGCACATCTTTTGTAATGAAAATACGGCGATCCCGAAGTATATGAACCAAGATGGCGCACAATCTGAACCCCAACCTGGTACACATAATATGTTAAGGTTATGCGCCATCTTGTTGCACATACTGCTAATTCATGAGGAAGAGCAGCCATATTTTTTGTGCGAATTAAATAGTTCTGGGAGTGCTTGGAGTTGCAAACCTAAGTAAACCCAGAATTTTTCATAGTTTTTCCACGTTAGGAATCATTCATGTTGTACATGTAGATTTTTCTAAAAACTTATATATTTTTTAGGCTCATTTGCTACTGCATCTTGTCTAAAGTGTCATTACAAGGTGGATTGTGAAGTGGTCAGAGAAGATATATTCAACATGGTTTGTTAATTTTCAATGTGAAAGCATAGATATAATTCTTATTGTCACAGCTACAGACGTTCATATTTTAACCCTTTCCGTGCGGTGGGCAAGTATACGTACCAACGACAAAAGTCGCTAGATTGCGGCGGGTACGTTGATGTACTCCACTGTTTTATTTAGCAATCGGTCGCAAACTGTTGGTCTAGTTTTTCCGGGTTTTAGTTTATTGATAAGAAGTCTTCTTCGAGATTAACATAAGCGACGGTAAATCTCGCTTTCGTTTACGACGGGAATTTTATTTGCGGGGGAACGATTGAGTGTTTTTGAAATTTATGCAAATTTCGGTGTTTTTCGGGTGGTAATAGAAGACGTATTATCCCTTCCAAGTACCAAAGTATTTTGAGTTAGATCACGAAATTGCTACAGCCATGTTATGCTATTGTTTGCCAACCACGAAGCGGTAACAGTCAAGGATTTAGCGAATATTTCTTTTTTTTATCACGGTTTGAAGTTTCAACTCTCAAGAAAAAAAAAGCCTTTTTTCTATCCGGTTTGTGACTCAGACCACCACTTAAAAAAAAACTTTTTTTTTTAATCGCCAATTGCAAGCTCTTTAAATAAGCTTTCCAACGAGCCGTCAGTGGGCAGCAGAGGATCATTAGTTTTTCGTTAGTCGATCGATTAGTTGTGGGGGTACAAATGCATAAAATCGGCGTAGCAAATAACTATTATTTAATAAAAAATAAAAATCGCATGGAAAGGGTTAATGATCTTGATTTTAAAATCTGATTTGATCAAATGTTAGGTGGCATCATTTCATAGATATCATATTATTTTAATAAAAAAAATATTTTAATTTCTGAATTTTTAATATTCTTATCTACTCTTGAATTATTTTGGAAATACTTTGCTTTTCTTTCTCTATTTCTTCAGAACGAATCTCAAAAACTTGGTGACTGGGTGGCCACTGTGCCCTACAACAAACTCAGGCTTTTTACCCCTCAGTCCTATGTTATATTAAAATGGTCAAGCTTCTCTGAATTTATATGAATTTATCTGAATGAAAGTATAGCTTTGTATTACCGGAATATTTATCCTTTTAGAAAGTACCTCGATGTCCGAAATGCCCTCCTGATGAGGAACTATCAATAATGAAACCTGACATTGTGTTTTTCGGAGAAAGTCTACCTGAACATTTCCACAGGCAAATGTCAAAAGATAAACACGATACAGACTTACTCATTGTCATCGGATCATCTTTAAAAGTTAGACCAGTGGCCTTGATACCAAGTAAGCATTATCTTTTATCCGAGTTGTTCGTAATTGGTAATAAATTGGCACTTCTGTATTTACTACTACCTGTAAGAAAAATATTGGTTTGCATGTCAAAAAGTGATACCTAAGGCACTATATGTGGTTAGTTTGAATACTATTGTTGACGTAGTAGACTTAAAACACAATGTGAAGGAATGGGTTTATCTTAAAAATTTCTAAGGGACGGCCTCATAGGCATTGGACCTACCTGTTGTTCTTCAAATGCTGAAGATATTGAGATTTGACTATATTGGCGTCGCAGGTTCGTCTTTGCCCACTTTCTCACCCAGGTTGCAATAAATTGGGTAAGCAAGGCAGAACAGGAAAGTTTTGGATCTTTGAAAATCAATAGCTGAGAACACCCCATAATAGAATTGACTCTAATTTCTTTATTTTTGCAACTTTAGATTTTTTTTTTCATACTAAATACTATGGTCTTTATAATAAGGTAACATTCAAACTTTCATTTTCTCCCAATTCACTCTCTAATTTTTAGATGTAGAGCATGCGGTAAAAGCTGACCACTATTTTGCAATTCTTGGATTTTTCCTCATTAAATCTTTTTTTATTTGCCCAGGTTCTCTCCCTGACCATGTGCCTCAAATACTCATTAATCGAGAACCTCTACCCCACGTACAATTTGATGTTGAGTTATTAGGTGACGGTGATACAATTGTAGCTGAGATCTGCAGGAGATTGGGATCTGAATTTCTAGATATCGCAGAAGAACGTGATCCGTAAGTCATAGGCCTATTTGCTTTTATAAATACTTTTTTTTGTCGGGGAAAGTGGCTTTCAGTACAGTTTATTTTTAAAAAGACTAAATACTGTCAATAAGCCAATTCACCAGTTTTCTAATTTTTCTTTGCTATCACCCACTCTATAGTCATATAATCTACCTTGAAGTAAAACAGATTTGAATGATAAAATAGTCTTATATGGATAATGGATATGTTAAACAAAGAAAGGTTTTTATGAAGGTTATATATTTTCCAAAAAAAGGGAATCACTAGTAAGTACAGAAAGTTGGCAAATTGTATCGGGTATTCCAGCCCAGAATAAGTTCTCTGAATGAATTAAATATACATTTTTACTTCAACTATGAAATCTCCCCAAACTGTTTTACTTTAAAAAATTAATTTGTATATGCAACCACCAACATAAAAACCAATTCTACAATCTTTTCAGACTTGTCGAAATTGACGTCTTACCTGATGAAAGTTCTCCATCGTCAAGTCAACAAACCTCAACAAAGACTTCAAATTCTGAAGAAAATGAACTGAGTCAAGAAGATACCAAACAAAATACAGATTCTATAACTTCTACATCAGAAAGTCAAGCGATCCTCACGGGTGACAAAAACAATAATTCATCATCAGATTCTGAAAAAGTCTCTAGTGCCACAGATGTCACACCTTGCCAAACAAATACTGATAACGAAGATTCACAATCTTCATCTAATGTTCAAAATAAACCTCCAAGTTCAGCAAATGTCAATGTAACAGATGGCAAGAACATTTCCTCTTTACAACAATCAAATGATTCCGAACTTGTAGAAAGTGGTGATAAATTACATGCTGCGGAATCAAATGATGAAAAACAAACAAATGAAAAAGAAAAAACAGAAAAAATTTTCAATAACATGTGGAAAAGCAGATGGAAGCAGTCCATCAGCAAAAGATTACCAGGTACATTTATATATATAGACTCTATATTGGCATCAGCTTAGCTAAATGAATGTACCAATGGTGTAAAATAAGGCTTGGCTGTTTTGTTTAGAATGGCTTATCCAGTTTTTCACATCTATGTCTGTGGTGATATCTCATATTATATTAGAATTTTCTAATAATTATAGCAGGGGTTGGCAACCTACTGCCCGAGAGTAAAATAATCCGGCTCGCGATGGATCATTTTGTTAATATGTTATTGTTCTTGTTCACATCGATGTTTGGAAGTACATATGTGTGCGGATAATTATTTTCGAAAAAGAACAAGCGAAGAACTAGGCTTAGTGATGCCCATTTAGAAAATGTTCTAATCTTGACTTCATTCAGTGTGTCACCTGATGTCGAAAAGCTATCAAGCGTAATGCAACAAAAAGTGTCACATTAAATGGCATTTGTAAATTTTTTGCAGTCAGTCGTCACATTGTTTGCTTAATATTTAAAGTCTAAAGTTTCCACTTCTGATCTGTGTAAAAAATGTGATTCATCAGCCACCCGTTCGTTTTTTTAACTTTCTTAAAAAATATGTGCGGTCCGCCAAGATTTGCAACCCCTAATTCTGGACCACGAGCGACAAAAGGTTGTCGACCCCTGAAAAATAGTCTTCACCAAGCCACTTTGGTGCCAAGAACCGGTTGTGCATTGCCTATCTGATTATTATTGTCCATGTTAAGTGTGGGAGCCTCCTTATATATCGGGTCTCAAAAAAGATGATGCACAAGAGTTGTTGATGCCACATAAAAAACACATAGTATCTAAAATATTATTTTTGAATAACAAGTTCCGCGTTGATTTACTCACAAGTCATCAGGGAATAAAAAAGTTCTCTAAAAGATTTTATATTCGTCTCGAGTGTATCAACTTTCTTGATATTTTTTATCGCCACTGAAAATCACAGAACATGATTGATGTCAATTTTGGCCATCTTAAATTCAATGATTTTCGTTATAGTTGGTTCGTTTTACTATGACGGAAAATACCGATACATATTCCCCGGTGCGGAAGTTTCTCCAGAAGAGGTCGATGATGATGATGATGATAGTGATACGAGTGATATAAGTGATGACGAAGTTGGTGAAAATAACCAAGATCAGTCGAGTTCATCTGATGAATCAGAAGAAGATATTAAAGGTATAGGCCTAATTCTTGATCATGATATTGACTATCCAGAGATGGATTTTATTGTTTTTTGGTAAGGAACTGCAGAAATTTTACTCTGTATTTGGTGCAGTTTTACTGATATTCTTCAGGTATTGAGTATTATTGTATGTTTGTAGTACTTATTTGTACCTAAAATTTTCTAGAAGCAATTTTAGAGATGTTTCCGACTATGAATCAAAAATTAATTATTTATTGATCGAGTATAGCGAGTGATTGCCCTCAATTGAATGAACATATATGTATTTATGAGTTATCTAATCGGGCACAGTGATTCCTAGCCGAAACAAAATGTCTCCTATAATTTGCTCCATAGTATTTTATTCCTTCTATCAAATACAATCAAGAACATTGTATATAAATAGATGTTAATGTCATATTATTGCAATATCAATCTTTTTCATCAGTATTAGTATCGATATCTGAAACAAAAAGTTGCGAGTATCTGAGGTTTCTTGGCCTGCCTTTGCCTTCTAATGCAAAGACAAGAGGGTGGTTTGCCATATTATTGAATCTTATCTGGTTTCTCCTCTCTAGATAAATGAGATAATTGTATTCTATAATCATTTATAATATTTTTGTAGGCCCTGGTGGTCTCTCGTCAACTAGAAGAGATTTAAGAACAAGTTCAATGAAAGCTGGTCATCATCATCATTTCCACGGTTTATCATCGTTCGTTCATGATCATGATGTTGTGATGATGAATCATAGCAAAGATTGTTGTTCAGATAAAGAAAGCTCATGTGTGAAAGGCAATTCAAGCCATAAGACATCTGAGGTTAGTATTTATAACCAACCATTTTAATTTGTTTCATCTTTTTTTATTTTGTTTTGGGTTATTATATAGATTCTCTATGAATAAGGCTTAGTCAAGCAGTTTACGGTCATGACATGGGACAGTATTTTTAAAAGGATTAAAATCCTTTTGATTTGGCATTGCTTGCCCAATTTGTGACACCCTGGGCCAAATTGTGGACATGGGGATAACCAGAAACTCAGAAAGGCTTCAGTGCTGAATATGTCTTTGTACCACGAAATATGTAAGGGTTTGTCTGGAAAATAGAATTTGAACTCAGCAGAAACGATCTCAAGATGTTCAGTGATAATAGTTTTGACGTCATGCAACTCGTAACTGTTTAGTCGGCAAATACTCGTCTACCAGGCCATGGTTGAGAATCACTGGTTTAGGGTATTTTGCTCATCACTAATATTTCAAAGTAGGAAGTGTACATGGAGGAAGGTCTTCTACTTCATTACACATTTCTTAGTCATCATGACAAAAGTAGTTGTGAAATAAAATTAATATTCTGACTTAATATTTTATTTTTAAAGTTTTGTGGTTACATTTACATTTGTGTTATTACTCATGAATCGAAGTGTTTTACTAATTTTTTTACCACATTGCTACATCTAACACAAATAATTTATTTCAAAGCCTACACAAAATACCACAACCAGTACTGATTCAAAATCTCATTTTGAACCAATAAAAGATGAATCGGATTCTATCATTCCTGATGAATTACATGAAGATATTATAACTCTCAGCACCACGAGTCACTCAAGTCATTCACCGTTACCAGAAAATTTACACAAATTATTTAGTAGCGATCATTTACACAATGAGAAGGATGATGCAATATTAAGTAAGATTATTATTGTTCAATGCTTTCGGTAATTTTTAATTAAGCAAGCACTTGTGAGCATAATTAGTTTTTGGAAGTTTGCCATTCTAGCAATAGTATTTTCACTTCGAAATTTCAAGAGGTATTTTTGTATATATCAGAGTTCGATGTACAAGTAGTACCAAGGCAGTAGGATCTTCAGTTATATTTATGCTCATGCTTTTATATCAATATGAGTGATTTGTGTGAGCCATGCTCACCAATTTCACTACAAATTCATATCATGAATTATATTTTTGGTACTCCCGTAGTATATGTACCAGGTTAGGCCATAATTTTATTCCGATTTTCCTTGAGCTTTCCCATTAAACTGAGAATTTTTTTGTTCTATTAAGAGTTCGGGGACTGTCTGTTTTAGCCAAGTGAATATACCCCCTGCCCATAGGTTTCAGTCCCTTTATACAACTTGAGGTAAAGTAGGCGAACAAAATTAGTTACCTCCACATCGGTACATACACTTCTGGAGCGCCATACTTTCTAATATTCCTAAAGTCTGGGACCCCTTCCCAATTAGCAGATGCTTAATCATTGACATAATTTGTTTCTGTACCAACTACCAATACCAATTTGGTTATATATATGTACATTGCTATCTCTTTTCGTACAAGTGCCAAATTGTTATTTTATTTTTTCATTAATGTATATCTTTGAATTATTTTTTAGTCAAACCAATTCTGGAAGTACCTGACACAGCACAGATCCTTGATCTTCCATCGTCATCTCTCTTACCTCCGATAGATGACAAATATTCAATGTCAAATCAAGATTCTGTATCTGCAGAGGAAAAATCAAATGATAACCAAACATCTTGATGACAGGAAATTTATGAACTATATTGTGACTGCCAAGTTTTAATATTCTGTTGTACGTTTACAACCGAGTGTTCCTAATCAGTGAAAAGTCACAATCTATCTAGTTAATGATCATCTAACGTATGTCTAATAATATAAGATGCAGTGGATCAGTTTAAATATATAATGAGAGAAAGGATGAACTGAATTTTTGGATGCGATATGAACATATGCCGATAGGTTGTTTTCATTTAAACAAAATATTGCCTCTTGTTTTTACTATCTAACTAATTATTCGAAGACTGAAGTAGTAGGATATTATTTTTATTCAGATCGGGTATAAGGTGTATTATAGTCTGAATCAGTGATCGACAAACTGTGGGCCAAGTGTTTTCTCGGGGCCAATTTTTTTGTGGACCTCTATTGACCTCACTTGTAATGTGTGAAACAAAAATTGCTCAAATTTATTATTATTTGTGCATGCATGTATTTCGTGACGATATCTGTTGTTGCAATATTCATGGCATAAGGATTATCTTAAAATTATGATTCAAAAGTGTCTGAATAAAAATAGTTTGCATTCTAATCATGATCTATAGAAAATTTTATTCTAATATCATATGATGTAAAATTATTGATGTTAAGGTTTCTCAGTATATCCCCAGATGCAAAGGGGGATTCTTCATAACTGTCGGGACAATTGAAGAATATTTGAAATTTTAAAGAAATCGGATGCTTTGTTCACTTGCTATTACCCCCGGCCAGGTCATAGTTGTAGATGCTCTTAAGTTTTACTTGCCTGAGTTATATGCATATTTCAAGGATAACATAGGTCATTTTTCAATAAATTTGTCAAATCGATAAACACATTTGATCTCCACTCCATGATATGATGAAACTTTGCTATGTAGCATGAATACAATACCATGTTGCATTTATCATATAAATAATATACCGTAATATGATTGATGTCTACACTCAATTCAAAGTTGGTTATGTTTTGCCAAGCAGGACGTAAAATAGTATCATTGTTTAATATAAAATTTGTGAAAAGATTTTTACAATTATTTGTATTTGGTTGATGAAATTTTTTGCTAATTTGTCTGACAGTATAATATTTCGTTTTTTGCATATCATTCAGTGTGTGTTCCTTTTTTTAAATTTGTATTTTTTTATTTTGGGGACACACCTATATGTATGATACATATTGTATACTTTTTTAAATTTTATTGTTATTGAAGTCATTTGATATTTGTGTAAGAATTGTAGGAAAATTGTTAGCAAATTGACATGATATAAGTCACAACACGCAACCCTGTAAAGTAGTAATCATATATTTTAGATATTTATTATCGAAACTACGTTGTCTATTAATTTATGTGTAAATATTTCGCATTCATGTCCTGCAAAGATTTTTTCCTACAGTCTATTGCTTTTGTAACTGAACATACAATTGAATTCTATTTATCACTCCGATAGCTTTATTCGATAAGGGCGAAACCTGAAAAGGGTGTTTTATAGATAATGAGGAAAACATATTTTCGATTTTTAAACTCCTGTGACTTTTTATTGAAACTTTTTTTGGTGAATCTCGCTCCAGTTTATGATTAGATATTAGGAAGGCATCGTTTTTGTTGATATTGACATTTTGTGAAAATAACCAAATTGGAATAAATGCCTTTTTACATCATTACACATATCTAATTATGCCTTCATTTAAACATTTTCACTTTTTGTACATAACCTAGATTGAGTATTTGAAAACTTAAATTAGGGTTTTATCATTGTTTTGGTCGGTTTTGTGAACATTTCATACCTAAATTAGAAAATCATTTTTTTTCATTGATTCATGTTTCCAATTCGCCACATATCGATATTTTATATCACAAATATATTGTGATAAAAGGTTGAATATCAAAATTTTGCCCCGTTTTTGCTTTTGTACCAGTGAGAAACTGCATATTTCCCTTTTTTCTGAAATCTCCCTTTAAAACAAAAACTAATGGAGTTTGTAGAAATGAGGACTGCTCAGCTTAAGAGCACATATTTCTTTGCAATATTTTTGATTTGATTTTTTTTTCAAAGTTTAGTATTCGCTTCTTGTTTTGAGACATCATAAAATAAACGATCCCTGAATTTCGTTTGAGCGTCGTGGCTTAAAAGTGATTTTTTTAAAGTATGAAACCCAGAAACAGGAATTGAATATGTCATTTTTAATTGTAGCTATCGGTGTATACAATTTACCACTAAATTCTGAACTAAAATATTGACCTTCAAAGTACGAACAATGTCGTCAACTGGTGTTGAAAATTGATTGTAATGAAAAAAAAAATTTCTGTTTAATGTCGTTGGCTATTGCAGAACCATGTATTTTCTTTAATTAAACTGATCATAGAACAATGATGCATTGCCAATGGGTGTTTTCTTAATTAACAACTTCCTTTCATTCTTTTTATTTAAATGCAAATCAGAATGTGGTTGACGGTGAGGCTACTCGGACACTATTTTGTACTTCGCGATAAATTTTCAAGGCTGTCTATAAACAATGATTCATTTTTATAGGTGTGGATTTCATTTGTGAGTATTGGTATGTTATTAAACAGGTGGTTACGTAACGACGACATTACAACACCATCTGTGTTAAATAGCCGCTCTGGAGGAGGCCGGTGAGCGGAAGCCAGTTCACAACCAAGACCTACATTCGCGCTAGTATTGTGGTCAAAAAATGACAAAATATATTTCCAGAATTGTTCAACAACAGCGCGGCCGGGAACTTTTTTCTTCTTTTTCACTATGACGTCACCGAGTGAAGATTCGGTCCCCTGTGATTGAAGAAAGACAATCACGAAGTTTTTCTTTACACTTGTTCTGGGTGTGTCACGTTTTTTAGCTTTTATTTTTCAAATATCCATTCATCATGAGTAATTGGTGTAACGTGCAGCGTGCCTCGTAAATAACATTGGCAATAAATTGCTGATGACAAGTCTTAATGACCAAACGAGAATATCGGTCAGAGACCGAAGAATAATCGATCGAAAGTTAGGGGATCCCCCAAAACATAAACTGCGATTTCGATTCATCCGCTCTTACTCCATAGCGACACAATGTCTTCTTACACTAATTAATTGTCCTATCACTAATTTATTTTATAACTCGCTAATTATACGACATAATTCATCCAAAAACAATAGGCTTCTGGTCCGAGATATGATGAATGCAATTGCAAAATTTGGAGCAGATTCAACCTCGCTTTCGTGAGATATCGCGTGTATATATAAATATACCTAATAAAAATACCTAATAACATACTTACCGATCAAGATCGATAAGTAATAAATTCCTCTCATGATATAATAGCAAGCAAGATTTATGGATTTCAGGGGTGGCATAGTTGTTTCTTATTATCACGCAATAAACTCAGCTAAACCATGTACGTTCTCATTTTATAAAATTTTTAATAATTTGTTTATTTTATTTGTCACCATAAAACCTAATTTTAAACGATCGTGACAAATAATTCCACTAGAAAGTCTTCCTCGTAACTGCGGTGTTCCGCAGAAAGCCGATAGAAAATCAGTGTTATCGAAAATGCGCTTTGATTGACTTAAAAAGAATGATTTTTATCAATTTCCGTTTAAACTACATTTTAGTTCTGTTAGAATTACTTTCGAAAAAGTTCGTAAAGTATACTTTAGCTCATGTGTTCATTCATATTCTCGTGATACGAACGTCGATTATTTTTCGTGAAACACTCCTAGCTTATAATATTCATGAATAGTCCTAACTGTGCAACATATGCTTTCTGAATTGAAAGTTAACATACGCTGATCACATTCTTGTTAAGTCATTGCAGCACTTACCATCAATGTCACTTAGACGTTCGCTTCACGACGAAGGTAGTAGACTATATTTTATGTCAAGTTAAATATGAAGCTATCAGGATTAAGAAGAGATCAAAAAATGGAACGTCTGTCTCGTGCTTTGCATACGAATATGTCAGTCAGAATATTCTCAATGCCTGGGGCAATTTTACACAAAGTGTTCGTCCATACTGATCGTTTTGCTGAATCGTTGTTGTGATTGGGTGACTCTTTTCGTTGGGAAAATTACATTTTCGCAATTTATGGTTATAGACATAGACGTTAATTTTTTTCAGTCAGCAAAATAAAAAACGATTTGAATGCAAAATTACCTATAAATGTCGAATACTTAATTCTACTGAGGGACCAAAGATCGAGCTATATTTTTTGAGAACTGTTATTGCCCAAAGCATTATTGACCACCAATAAACGAATCATTTTCACAATTTAGACTTTAAGTCTAAGAGGTTGCCAAAGGACTAATATTTTCTTTTTTAGATTAACTCCGAGTCATATGAGAGTCGATCAAGCATGACCGCCTCCACCACGCGTGTCCTTTATTTTATTCAGCCAACTCGCTGCTAAGCATTAACAGCTACCGCACCGTTGTACATGCAAAAATTCATGTCCAACTCAAGCAGATCAATGCGATCAAATGCATTTAGGAAATCCCGAATATGACAAGGAAATAGATATCCACTGATATATATCAGTTTTAAGCAATTTCACCTCAAATTGCTGTGGAATTGTGTAACTTCGGATGCTTCTTAATAACGGGTGGAAATTTAAATCCGGTGTTTTTTGACTTTAATGCGGCATATTCTACTCATCAATTTCAAACTATATTGTACCAAATAAGTGTCTCCTATTGTTGTCACAATATTGGAAGTATTGTACAATATTTGCGCATTGTCTCCTAATTCTATAGTATTAGAAACGATATATATTTAAAAAATATTGTCGTCCATGGATTATTAGGATGCCAGCGACAGTACCGCTAAAAAGTAACAAAAACAGATTGTATAAATAAATTGCTATTAACAATAAATCCGTGACAATCGCACTATTTGGACATGAAATATTGAACATGTTAGTGCAAGGACGAGATGTCCAGGGAATTAGTTTGAACGTATTTGCACTAATCCGTCTTAGATTTTATAAATACTAGTCGTTTCGCAAATATGCCTCTGTCAAACAAAGCGTTCCACGACAACCAAGACACATTCTTCTACGGCTCTTTGCCATACTTTCAGCATGGCAATTTGTTATCCCATTCTTTTTGTTCCGCGTTGCTTAGTAATGGCAGAGCAGCCTGTCCCAATATAACACCGGAATAAAGATGACGTCACATCATCAAAACTTAATTCGATCTGCAGTTTTTTAGACTGATGCCACGTCATTCCGATGTAGATGACATTGCTCTGTCTGTACTGTCTGGGATTTGTATGAACACTGCCGCCGTTCTAGAAATGTCAAATGCCTAATTTTAATAATTATCCTTTAACACTAGATACCAGTCGGATTAGAAACTAGTTGAAAGGTGTCGATCAGCTAGCAATAGACCAGTTCACTAAGATAAACAGATTTTTGCGTGAAAAATTTGAATTGCACAAAGTCAAATTGCTCATCAATTAAAAGTTACTAACTTCGCCATTTAGAAATTTGAATTCCAAAATAACAAACGTTACCACATATTTAAATGTCAGATTGTATCAAAATTTTACTCGGGAAGAAAATATGTGCAAAACATTCTCCTCGACTAATCGACTTGTCAAAATTGGTGGTCATGTTATCAGCCCTTTTTAATGTGTTTGCCAATCTTATAAACAATCAATTAATAGTATTTAATAATACGTCATATCTTCCAGATCTAGAAGCTAAATGACGGAACTTATAAAAATATTAAAAAAAATATAGATTTGTATATTTATAGATATGTAATCGCCCTTATTCCTCGTACTTGATGAATTAACTAAACTAATTTTATGCTCGAATTAAATTTGGACTTGGTTACGTTAGGCTGTGTTTAAATTGATTTTAATATATATATATATACATTTTTTAACCTTTGCTATGAGCCGTTGTTTTGTCTTCTAAATAATTTAATTTTTCATGCAATACTTGAAAAAACACCCTACGAAATTCTTTTGACAACTTCCCCTCAAGTTAATTATCAATTGCATCCTGATGTTTTTAAACATACCAGCCAGTTGCTATGCACAAATGCGAAAACTGAGATTTGTCAAAGTTGGCAACCCTACATTTGCAAAAGCGCAGTGGCGCATTTACGTAAAACTGCGCCCGTGGCAAAGTTTTAAAATGCGACCTGTTGGCCGTTAGCTGACAATTTTTAACGACTGTTGTTGAAATTAAATACTTGTTCGGTATAATTTGAGTAAAAAAACTAGTTCCAATTATTACTAATTCGAAATTATTTTATTGAAACATTTTACGATAAAAATTTTCGGCCTTTTTCGCCTTGCGCTCGTGGCTGCCACACCCTAGATACGCCACCACACAAGCGACAAAATACGTCTACTGCTATCTTCAATTACGGGGACATATCGTGGTAAAAATTGAGTTTCTTTAGATTGACATGTACAAATGTTAGAATTTCGTTTTTTGGCTTCAGATGGTGTTAAATAGCCGCTCTGAATCTGACTGGTAAGCGGGAAAGCCAATTCACAACCAAGACCTACAATAGCGCTAGTATTGTGGTCAAAAAATGACAAAATATATAAATTTCAGAATTTTTCAACAACAGCGCAGCCGGAAACTTGTTTCTTCTTTTTCAGTATTACGTCACAGACTGAAGATTTGGACCCCTATGATTGCAGAAAGACAATCACGAGGTTTTCCTTCATTGGTTCTCGTTTTCTCTCGATTTTTAATTTGTATTTTTTAAATTTTCATCCATCATGAGTAATTGGTGTAAAGTGCAGTTTGCCTTGTTAATAACATCGGTAATCAATCGTTGATGGCAAGTCTTAATGACTAAATAAATTTCTCTTCTAGTATCATAGCAAGCATGATTCATGAATTTCAGAGACCGCGCAGTTGATTCTTATTAACACACAATAAACTCACCTAAAAACCATGTACGTTCTCATTTAACTGAATTTTGATTTGTACTTTGTTTATTTTATTTGTCACCATAAAACCTACTAATTATAAAACGATCGTGACAAATAATTCCACTAGAAAGTCTTCCTCGGAACAGCGGTGTTCCGCAGAAATCCGATAGAAAATAATTGACTTGATCGCTTTGATTGACTTGAGAAGAATATTTTTTCTTAATTTCCGTTTAAACCACATTTTTGTTCTGTTAGAATTACTTTCGAAAAAGTTCGTAAAGTATATTAGCTTATGTATATTTATCCATATTCTCGTGATACGAACGTCGAATCTTTTTCGTGAAACACTCCTAGCATGAAGTGTGTGATACCTTTTTCTGGGCATGAAGACCATTTGCAAAAATAAATAAATATAATATTTAGATTCCAGTCTGCCTATCAGGATTTTCTCTCCAGATCACATAATTGCAATATGACGCCTGGCTAAGTTTCATTTGCAACTGTATTTGGTTGTAGTAAGGGTGTCCAACTTTGAGACCGAAACATCCACTATCAGACTCAGCAACACAAGTTTTTTTGCTCGTGAGGTCGTGAACTCTGCGGGTACTGACTACTGACTGACCGGTTGGCTACTGTGCGAATTGTATACCCGTATTTCTTCGTGTCCATATATTCGAGCATCGCTCTCTTACTCAACATCTATGTAAAATAAATGCATATAATATTGTTATATTGCTTTGTCATCTTTTCAAATCCACCCGATACCCATTTACCGTATAAATCAATGGTTCTCCTGCGGGTAATTTGACCATACCTAGGGAGTAAATCAAACGTTCACTATCTTAACAAGGTATTTTTTATTTCTCGTAGTTTTCGATGGTCTGTGAAAATTCAGACGCGATGTTTGCGTCTTGAATAGGTGAATATTGCTCTGTCACGCTATAAGTAGCATCAAGATGACAATGTTCCGCGGTATAGACTGAAACGTTGAGCACACGTTCAGCATTCTAAATTTGGATTGAAAGGAACAATAGAAAAGGTCACCCTCATGAATAGTAACTGTGTAACATGATATGTAAGTTAACATACGCTGATCACATTTTTGTTAAGTCATTGCAGTAATTACCACCGATGTCATTTAGACATTCGCTTCACACCGAAGGTTGTAGCCTATATTTCATGTCAAGTTAAATATGAAGCTATCAGGATTAAGAAGAGATCGAAAAATGGAACGTCTGTCTCGTGCTTTGCATACGATTATGTCAGTCAGAATATTCTCAATACCTGAGGCAATTTTACACAAAGTGTTCGTCCATATTGATCCTTTCGCTAAATAGTTGTTTTGATTGGGTGAGTCTTTTCGTTGGGAAAAATCACACTTTTATCGCAATTTATGATCATCGTCATAGACGTTTATTTTTTTGCAGTCAGCAAAATAAAAACGATATGAATGCAAAATTACCTATTTAATGTCGAACACATAATTCGGTACTCCCGTAGTATGTGAACCAAGATGGCGGACACCGGAACGTAGTATGTGTACCAAGAGTTAGACCATAATTTTATTCCAATTTTCCCTATTTTAGTTCTATTACAAGTTCGGGAACCAGCCAAGTGACTTCCGTAGTATTTGCACCTGAAATTACGGCCTAACTCTAACTTGGTACACATACTACGTTCCGGTGTCCGGAACACAAGTTTGCTTTTCATTTTATCTTGTGTCGATCAAGCATGACCGTCTTTACCACGCTTGTCCTTCATTTTATTCAAAGAAGTCTCTGCTAAGCATCAACAACTCAACTCAAGCAGATCGATGCAATCAAATGCATTTTGCAAAACTCAAATATGACATCGAAAAACATAGTCATAGACAGTGATATATATAAACGAGGGTGGTCCAAGGGTACGACTTTGCAGGGCCACAAAAACTTTTGAGGATGTCTCGCGGGCCGCAGTCGGATAAAAACCAAAAGTGATCAAAACATCGCGAGTTTGAGTAGCGTTTAGGGTTCTGATAAGTTTTTATATTTTATATAAAGCCTTCAGTTATTTTAAAATTGCTTCCAGAGAAATACCGTGATACTTTTGGTATCTTTTCTCGTGTTTGATTTTGTAATTTCGCTTAAAATTACATTCTTTCGTGACATATATTACTTGAAAACACACCAGACACTGTGGTTTAACGTTGTTGTGGGTAAGGAAATACGTTTCCTCCCAGTTTATCTCGAACACCATTTTTATTACACTCATTATATGATGATTTGTTATATTTGACTAATTTTATTACTTGCAGGCGGCGTGAGCAGGCCTGGTGCAATCGCAAAAGAACAACCAAGTCCGTCCAAGTTGGGACTCAAGACCCAGATAAAATAAAGTTGGATCGCGTGGCGCTAAGTCAACTCTGCGGTTCGTCACTGCTGTCACATGACCAACGATTGAAAATAGAGGAGTGTTTTACTAAAATAAAGGCACAAAGGGTCTCTCCAAAAGAGAAATTACTTGCGCGACTCCAGTTATCGGCATGGTCCTGTCTGCGGAACACAATTCATTCTCCTTGTACCTATCACAGGATGTCATCCCCATATTGCCACCGTCTTGAGGTTTATAGATACATTGAAATTCTGTTATTTTTACACAAAAATCAATCTCGACGTCGGGATTAGGGAAAGGGCAATTTCCAGTTGGAATAGTTTTAGAATAACTCAAGAATGTTCTGCCAATAAATACAAATATCTGCTAATGGTTTAATACACCCTAAAATTGTTCTGCCAGCCGCACGGAATGTGCGTAGTTATTGGACTTTCGTATCCATATATTTGCGCATTGTCTCTTTATTCTATAACAATAGAAACGATACAAAATTAAAAAAGAATGTCGTCTATGGATTATTAGAATACCAGCGACAGTACCGCTAGAACATAACAAAAATAAACAGTATGAATAACTTAGCATTAACAATAAATCCGTGACAATCGCACCATTTGAACAATAAATATTGAACATGTTAGTGCAGGGACGAGATGTCCATGGAATGAGTTTGAACGCATTAGCTCTAATCCGTCTTTGATTTCATGAATATTAGTCGTTTCGCAAATATGCTTCTGTCAAACAAAGCGTTCCACGACAACCAAGACAATTTTTCTACGGCTCTATGCCATACTTTCAGCATGGCAATTTGTTATCCCATTCTTTTTGTTCCGCGTTCCTTAGTAATGGCAGAGCAGCCTGTCCCATGCAATATAACACCGGAATAAAGATCACATCATCAAAAATACATTCGATCTGGAGTTTTTTTAGACTGATGCCACGTCATTCCGATGTAGATGACACTGCTGTGTCTGTACTGTCTGGGATTTGTATGGACACTGCCGCCGTTCTAGAAATGTCGAATACAAAATTTTAATAATTATTTCCTAATACTAGCTACTAGTCGGATTAGGAACCAGTTGAAATTTTTTTGATTAATTAGCAATAGACAAATTCTCCAAGATGAACAGCTTTTTGTATGGCCTACGAATTCAAGTTTTTTCTTTGAGAAAATTTGCTTAGCAAATATGCAAAACATACGTAAATATCAGATTGTGTCAAAATTTTACTCGGAAGAAAATATGTGCGAAACTTTCTCCTCGGACAAAAAATTTAATCGACTTGTCAATGTTGGTGGTCATGTTATCAGTCTTTTTTAATGTGTTTGCCAACCTTATAAACGATCAATGCATATTATTTAATATCACGTCATATCTTCCAGATCTAAAAGCGAATTGACGGAGCTTATAAAAATTTACAAACAAATATTTGTATATTTATAGATATTTATTCGCGCTTATTCTTCGAAATTGATGAATTACCTGAGTTAATTTTATGTTCGAATTAAATTCGGACTTGGTTACGTTAGGTTGTATTTAGTTTAGTTTAAAATGTATAGATTTGTTAACCTTTGCTCATTATGTTGTTTGTTCTCCTCTTCTATCGCAGAAAAAATTGAACTATATGACGGAGGTAATATATTTTCTTCAGATAATGTAGATGTTTTAATTTTTATTTCATCAACTTCCTGTCGGAATTAAAGCAATACAAAGATTATTGATAGTTTTTTTCACTTCAAAAATATATTTTTCATAGGCAGAACGAAATGAGTATGAATTCATGCATAGAGATTTTATTTGGTTTGTTCGTCGTCTTTCTTCTGCCTATAATGGTAAATATTAATTCCATTTATGTCATGTATCGAAAACTGTTTGTTTACCTCTGTATGATGCAGTCGTTGAACATTTCTTGATTCAAGTTTTCGATAAAGTTGAATATCTTCATATAATGGAGGAAGTTCATTGACAGCAATTGTTGTTGTGTGTGGGTCATTTCCGGTTGTACCTTGAATATAAATTTGCTTTTTATTTTTATGTGAAAATTATAGGAAAATTTCTCATAATTTATAACACTTGAACTTCTGTTTGTGTATGATTGTACCTAAAATTTCACAATAATCTGAAACTCTCTGCACAAAAGTTTGCAAAATGATTTATTATTACAAACATATATTCTAATACAAATATTTTTATTATCTATAAAGTTTGGAAACAATGAATTTAAATGAACTAAAAATGAGATATTAAATTGACTCGTCCATGTTATTCATACTTCTTTTATTCCCAGACGTAAAATGGATCCAAAATCACGAAAAAAACATATCAGTCAGATTTATTAAACAGAAAAGTTTATTTAAGCGTGGGAATAATATTTATGACCGAAGCCCACGAATTTCCTCTAATTTTTTGAACTTGATAATACCGAAAATATTTGCCACACAAGTGAAAACTCACCGTTTCCTTGAGGTTGAAATCCATTCCTCATTTTTCGTATTTTTTGAATTAATTTTTTTATAAGATAATGAGAACTCATTGCAAGAACAAAAGAACCAACCATTCCCCCGATAATAAAACCCAACATTGATGCCGACCTGTTATGACAAATTTCGATTTGTTTAAAAAGTGTTTAGAAATATTTATACAGCACGGACAACTATTCATTCAGTTTAGATATTATCCCAGCAGGATTTATCGCTCGAACAATATTGCAAATTTTAAACAAGTGCACACATGAAACGACGAAAAATTAAATTGCTAATATGCTATGGGATATACTATGATCCCATATATATTTTGGTTCCTTCCCAATTTGCAATTTAAAAAATTGAGGGAGTGATCGCGTAGATCAAAATTGGTCGGTTATTATAAGCTTTGCTGCAGTTTTCTCAAACTCGAATTTGAATTTTTGGCGCTCCAGGTGTATGTGTACCAATATGGCGATACCTAATTTTGTTCGCCTATTTTATTCAAGTTGTGTAAAAGGACTGAAACCTATGGGCAGGGGGTATATTCACTTGGCTAACCCAGCCAGTCTCAGAACTCGTAAAGAACTAAAAAATAGAAAATAGAAAAAAAAAATCGAATTAAAATTATGCCCTAACCCTAACCTGGTACACATACTACGAGAGTATACCAAATTTTTAGTAATTATCTATATATGTATATAATAATATGTAATGTATGTATGAATTACTTGCTTTGTTCGGCATCATACAATTTAGTTGATAGCAACGCCGGTTTTGATAGTCACACCTATTATGAATCAAGATACACAGAGCCTAATTTGGATCATCAAAGGCATAATATATTTTGCGATATAATGAAAAATATTGGAAAATGGTTTATCTTGATGTCTTTTGATCTTTGTGAACATCCTAATTTATGTGTTTGACGTTAACATGATGGTATGTTTATATAGAAAAAAAGTACAAAAATCTGAATTTTATTTAATATTTACGTTTGAGGAACATGTCACAAAATACTTTCATTTTCTAGCATACCTTGCGAGTGATTATTTTTCAAGTACAAAGCCCAATATAGCTAAGTATTTAATGCGGGAACCTATCAAAAATTAAACTAGAATTCGGTTGGAAACCGAAGACTTATCGATCGAAGGTTAGGGGATCCCCCAAAACAGTGGTCTTACTCCATAGTGACACCGTGTGTCCCATCACTAATTAATTAATAACTCACTAATTATACGACATAATCCATCCAAAATTAATAGGCTTCTGATACGAGCTAAGATGAATGCACATGCAAAAATCGCTTTCTTGAGATATCGCGTGCATCTAACACACAGACAAACAGACAAATACCTATCAACATACTTACCGATCAAGATCGATAAGTAATAAGGAAGGAACAGGGTTAGAGTCTAGAATAAATCGCAATCAACTGAGGCTCATCTATTTGTCCTGATTGTAAGTAATTTAGTGATTCTGGAGCCTGTATTCCGTTTTCTTATAAACTCGTCACAGTTTATACTTAAGCGAAGCCTCGTTTGGAGCGATAGTTTAAAACCTCGTTGTAATATATATACATACATTATGTTAGGGTCATATATGGATAAAGAATAGTACGAATAGACAACGGCAAATATTGATTTACTTGTCCAAGTGTTATAGTTACATGAACAAAAATCGCAATTTTGTGCCGTTTTTAAGTTTCTTAAATACAAACATTGCTTGGGGCTGGATGTGTACGTAGCAAAATTTCCAGATATAATTAGATTATGTACTGCTGATGGGCTAATCTTGACTGTTAACATAAAAATACAATCTATGGCTTGAATGAGTGGAAATTATTAAACTGTTGAACTTAAAAAAAAACAAGTTAACGACAATTTTGCAAGCAAGTTGCATTTTATATATCTGTGTAACGTCACGAACGTAAGTTTTCAGTATTTATTAATCGTTATTTCGACACGACGTAGGAGGCTGAAATTTGCATGCAAAACAAACAACATTATCACAAAATCGGATCTATTGTATACGTATCCTTACGTGTAATTATTATTTGATATATTGTCATATGTTTGTTTTTAATTTTAGAAGCTAAAAAAGTTGAGTTCACGAGTTCACGTGGGTTAATACCAAAATTAATTCGATGACAGCCACCAAACAAGAAATCAATGCGTGTATAGAAAAGTGGTACATTCACCAAGAATATAATCGATTACGAATCGACGCGCCTACTGGAGCAATTGTATTCACAAAACAACATAATGTCACTTTTTCGATCTTTCACAACCTTAAAAGGGATTTACCTGCAAAGCAATTACTATCGTATTTACAAAAAAAGATTTTTTAAAATATGAACACCATCTCTATAACCAGGCTTGTCCATGTGACTTATTTTTCTGTCCTATCTCATCCCACAGTAATTTATGCCTGTCCCATCCATACAATTCAGTTCAACCCCGAACCAGTTCAAAGTCCAACCCCGTGTTGAATTTTTTTTACTCCATCTCTACATGGTTAGCATGACAAATCTATTGAAGATATTTACTTACCCTTCGATTTCTTTTTCCTCCGTCTCGCATTTTGAAACATTCAATTCTCTGGTTGAATTATTGCAACAAACTGATGCTCCACAATCGCCACAGCAGAACACTGACTCGCCGTTTGTTTTAATTTCACATTCTTTATTATAGTCACATGTGTGATGTGGAACGTCGTCGAATGCGTCCAAAGTGAATAGTAAAGCTGTAAAAGTTATTTGAACCATGTTTCCTATCCATAGTCAAAATTTTTAAGTGTTAGTAGCATCTCACAGGAAAATTGTTTGAGCAAGCAACCGACCAGGTTATGGTAATACAATAAATGACATACTTCATGCAATTTTCGGGTCGAATTTATAATGCTACGAATAGGGTAAACATTCCAGAGACTTCTGGTACATATGACTCGTTCAAGTAAATTTCATTCATACGGACGGTAATAATGAATTTCACCAGTCAAAATTTATCTACGTTGAATCAACCTATAAAATTCCTTCTTCGAAAAGTTCCACCCGCGAAAAATTTCTTCCTTTTAATATTCTACCCAGACAAAATTCAACCTTAAATTATATTTCGAGTTTTCATTACTTTTACCAGACACCAATTCTTTAGTTTATCTCCCAAGTATGAGAAAGTACTCACCGGCAAAGTAGCAGCAGAAGAATAGAAAACTTGCATTTGCAGACATTGTTATCTTATAAATTATATATTAATTGTGCAATAAATATCCTAAAATTTTTGAAAAAAATGCAACAAAATGGCAAAAAGATTTCAGAAAATTTTCTAAACAAACACTAATACCGTTTTTGACACGTCTAATACTTTTACAGTCCTATTCAAAACATATATAAAGCCCATCAAACAGTATAAATGAACTTTCTGGAGTTTCCTTGAAGCTAAAACTGATATCGATACTCGACAAATATTCATCCGTTCTTCAAATCTTCATTGCTCACCCGCTGACAAAACTCGATATAAAGTTATTTAAAATCGATTTAAGAATCCTTTTTCTACGAACGTAATTCACCACGCACTTGAAATGAATGAAAATCTATTATTATATCACTGATCATATTCCACGTATCACCTGTAATTTACGAAAGTGATATAATCGGTGGAAAAAAAGTTTCGTATTACATAAAAGAAAAAATCGCTATAACAACGTAATCAATAGCGGTCACCAAAAAAGGCAAATCGAGACACATCTGAAGGTTGATAGGCCATGTATAAAATAAATTTACCACTAAGTATGAAATTTATGTGAGTGTAGTAGGATCAACTATAAACATTCTTGACCGATTAATATAAATTTAACTAAAATAGACAATTTATGAAAATGTGTGGAATTTTCGCCGATTCTAAAACTAAAGCTTCATCGCGGAGGTCTGTGCAAATATATCTAAATTTTACTAGCGAACTTTATTAGATTTATGATGTCCTTCATTTTGTAAAGTCATTTACCAATGCTAAGAACAAAGCATATTATATAGTTCTACATTTTTGAACATGACAATTTAGGGCTTCGAGAGAAAATTATATTATTATTTATTATGAGTTAATATTTGCTAAATTTAGTACTAGTAACACAAGATATCTATATTTATTTTCATTTTTTGAACCTTTGACTCCAAAACTACTTATTTTGAAATGATATCGGTATTGTTGAAATTTCAAATACTTATCTAAATATTATAAAGTGCAAGTTAATTCATCCATAGTCTCATCTATTCTGACGTATACCTAAACGAGCTCGGGGTAACGTACATTTAACTAAAAGATAATTTAAATCAAAAGTTGTTGTAACCAGCTTAGGCTACAATCTATTTTTGAAGGATGATCTGTACTTTTTTCTATCAATAAAAGACAATTAGCCTTGACATTTGGATGACAAAAACGTGTCTGTTGCCATATTATCGTTCTGCGATTGTGATCGTAACAAATCAATATATGAGGAATTACACAAGTAAAGGAAATGGAATTTCAATCATATTTTGAGTAATTGTATATTGCAAGTTCAGAAATGTCAAGTTCTAGGTTAAAAACTTCCTCGTGAAAATCGACATGCGGCAATCCAATTGTTCCCAAAAACGCAAGTAGTCAAATTTTATATATAACACTTGGTCATCAATGCTATCATAGCATTGTTTTTGAATTGACGTTATTATAAAATGATTCGTACCAATATGCCATTATATCTTTTGTATGGTGTTCAGCTGATTCATTTAATATTTCAATTGTGACATCACATAAACGTATATTATGTATACTAAAAAATTGATCATTATTGTCTTTATCGGTGGTTTTCAAGCTTCATAGTAAAACGGAACCCCAATGAAACATTCTAGAGCAATGGTTTTCGAGCTTCTTGAGCCACGCCCCCTTTTTAGAATAAGTCAAGTCTTGCGCCCCATTTCAAAAATAAGTAGCAAACAATAAGATACAAATAACAGATAGTAAGGTTAAAGTATGTTTTATTCAAAAAACACGTTGAAATACGTGGATGCAACGTAAATAATGAAATAAATGAAAAGTTTTAAAAACAAGTAAAATTATTAGTGCAGTTGTTTATGGTTGACAAAATAAGAAATGTAAATATCCAAAATAAGGCGGACAAGATCAAATCTAACAAATACTTTTAATTATTTTTACGCCCCCTCAAAAATTTGTCATGATCTTTGAAGTGTTACAAATTTGATAATAGTGACAAAGTGATAAATAAAATAGTTTCTTGATTATATTTAAACAATATATATATATATACATGTAATAATAAAGACTCTAGAATTTGATTGGAAACTTATGAAACCCCGCGACTGTACTGGTGGACCTCTGGGGCTCCGACGAACCCAAGTAGGTAAACCACTTAACTAACTAGAAAGCGCTGAAAGATTCAAATGAATGTAAACCTTTGAATATGCAAGCATGCAAATTGAAGAAAAAGTTCGATAATTAGAAGAATTACGTCTTTCTCTTTCATTTACTAGCTACAATCCGATGGGGATTTCCCATCGATGAACTGTTGCGTTGTCTTACATATTTTGCAGATATATACTGTATTTTGTCTGAATCCTCAAAAGACATATTTTAGCTGTCATACTCGATTGGCAGTGAGCTCCCATCCGTTTTCGGTCAGTGAATCTATCAGACAAAAGTACTTATGCCAATATTTATATCGAGAGAATTGTTTTCCTGGCCTTATTAACCCGAACTATTTCTAGTGTCAATTGTTGTCTACTGACGCGTTACTCAATGCTATAAGTCTCCCCAGCATCAGTAGCTCTCGGAACTTTTCAGGTCGCACTTATCAAGCTCTCTCTCTTTCTCTGTCTCGGAACTATCTTTTACTTCAGAGTAAGTGCATATGACATTGCTGCAAGAAAATTCAGTATGAAAAAGAATTTAATTTTATAATGACAGTTCACAGTTTTGTAAATGTCTGGAGAAGAGCGCTATTTTTAAACGAATTCTGTGGAAATTCCAAAAATACGTGCGCTTGTTTGTATATACGTATTGAAGGTTATAGATATTGATCCGAAGTTCACTGTGACAAAATTTGGGAAATCAGAATTCATAATTAATCATGTTTCAAAGTTCCCATTAAATCACACTAAATGTCCTTCAAGTTCAAATTTATATGCTATGACATTATACTTGGCATGACATTCGAGCATGACATTAGTATTGGTTGCTATTTTAGCATTTGTTCCGTCGGCTATAGTGGATCTAGCTATATCAAACTTGAATGGTTTTTAAGTCAACCAAAACTGCGACCTACGAATATATTGTAATAAATTCTGGTTATGTTCGACTGCTTACTTTGAGCCGTGTCCGAGCGAGAAGTCATTGACAGACGATCAATTAGATCACGAAAAAGAGACACGAACCGTCAAATCGTGATATTGTCAGTGTATATTATAATCGTTCATGTCAATTAAAAATTTTCTGCATAGTTTTAATAGCAAGAAGACAGTTTCATATCAAATCTAATTCCGGTTAGTGAGTTGCAGTTACGTCACAATACTTCAGAATGTAAACCCGGCGCAATGCCCGAAAAAAAAACGATTAGGCACGTGACTATTTTTATTTAATCAATCAAATATATTAAATCAAGGCGCGAGGTTGGCGGGCCGCAAACACTTTTGATGATGACTCGCTGGCCGCTGTCGGATAAAACCCAAAAGTGATCGAAAGATAGCGAGTTCACTCACTTTAAATATGTTTAAGAAATAGAGTTTACGGTTCTGATCAGTTTCGAAAATTATATAAGTTATTTTAAAATTGCTTACGGAGAAATATCGGTATTTTCGGTATTTTTTCTCGTGTTTGGTTTTGTATTTTCGCTTAAAATTACATTCTTTCGTGACAGATATTACTTGAAAACACACCAGACACTGTTGTTTAGCGTTGTTGTGGGTAAGGAAATACGTTTCCTCCCAGTTTACCTCGGTCCCTTTTTTTATTACACTCATTGTTTGATGATATGTTATATTTGACTAATTTTATTACTTGTAGCGTGAGTAGACCTTGTGCCATCGCAAAAGTACAACCAAGTCCGTCTAAGTTGGGACTCCGGACCCAGCGGATTGCGCGGCGCTAAGTCAGCAGCTCTGCGGTTTGCCACTGCTGTCACATGGCCAACGCTTAAGAATGAAGGAGGGTTTTACTAAAATAAAAGCACAAAGCGTCTCTCCAGATGAGGAGTTACTTGCGCGACTCATCTCATTGGCATAGTCCTGTCCCTTTAATAGCTCTTTATTATACGAACACGTCGGTGGTGTTGTCACAATGAATATACACAGATTTAAAGCATTAAGTCTCCGACATCACTCATCGAAAAAGCGGATGCATTCTTGTTCAATCAGACCCAGAAAAATGTAGGGGAAAACAACTTGTTTCAGAGAGTGCAGTGAATATTCGTAATTTATGAATTAATTAATACCTATCTAAGAGATAGCACGACAACAACATGCACACCCCAGTAACAATTCAGAAAAACGATTCACAGGTCTGCTTCCATTTCTAACAAGACCAAATAAAAATATATTATTTAGCAGAATTAGTAATTCAATTTTATGACCTTTACACGAATTTCGCTTCTCAGAGTAAGTAACGTATCTCCTCATAGATGACAAAAGTTGTACGACATAGGCAATTAAACAAATTCCCCTGCCTTGGGCACAGGCAGACACATAATACCAGCAATCATTAAGATAAACTTCATTTATTTTATATGGTAGAATCTTATTTTCTAAACCTTAAACTATGAATCATTAACTACTTTTCTTACAGATATAAATTACCATTCAAATTTGACTACTGCTTTGAAACCGTTGAAACTTTCTAATAATAACCTCATGTTCAATATACCGTAGCCTACAGCACTTCGTAACAATGACTAAGGAAGACATTCCAAGTTCTGAACACCGGGTAAAAAGTTTGCTTCACTTTCTACGCGGTCTATAGATAAAAATAGCCGATAACGTAAACTCGATATTACTATGACCTGACCGGAACATAAGGTAGTAATCAAATCAAGACTGATTAACACGGAATTCTACAAAACTTCTTTTATGGCGATGTTGAAACATTATATTTCAATTTGTTAGAATGTCTATATTGGTTTTAATTTTACATCAGGTTCAAATGAATGCAATAAAAATACAAAAGAATTAGGAACGATATAATTGAAGCGACTGCATTCTGAATTTCAAATATGTTTCTTATATATTTCAATAATTACCATGGTAATTTGTCGATGATGCGCATTAGATTTGGAAATCATATCAAACAACGGTAAT